CCCCCCCCCGCCCTGTTGTGGGCAGGGCAGGGCCGGCCCTGCCGTTCCCAGGTTACGGGCTGACCGGTGGTATCCAGGCTGCAGGCCCGTAGCTGAGCTCGTAGTGCATCCTGGCCCACGGCCACAGCTACGCCCATAGCCACACGTCCTGCCGATGGCCTGGCAGGCTGCGGGCCGGGCTGCGAGCTCACCTGCTCTCTTCACAAAGGTCTTTGCAGAGTGCCGCATGGTAAGGTGTTCACGCACACTCGAGTGCTGCTGCTTAACAAGCCTCGCTGTGCTACAGGTGTCTTATAGAACCTTATAGACCTCGGCTCTCTGTGTGTCGCTGAAGTCGCGGCTTTGATTCTGGAACTCCCATAAGGCTCCATCTGGGGACATGCCAGAAGCCTGGCTGGCGCTCACTGAGTGCGGCCCCTGGTGCCAGGGTGGGAGGCGCCCACCCCCACTCCACCACCCCCTGTGCCATGTTCCACAGGTGTCTCATAGAACGCATGGGCCCTCACACCCGAGCCGCATGTTCCACAGGTGTCTCATAGAACGCATGGGCCCTCACACCCGAGCCGCATGTTCCACAGGTGTCTCATAGAATGCATGGGCTCTCACACCCGAGCCACATGTGCCACAGGTGTCTCATAGAACGCGTGGGCCCTCACTCCCGAGCCGCATGTGCTGGTCAGACCGCTGCGTTTAGCCCCTGCCTCTGCTGCGTAGAGTGCCTTAGGCCGCTGTCCTGAATTACCGGGTTTAGACTCTAGGCCCCCGTGGCTCCCCCCGCTTCTGCCGCAGGAGTGCACTCAGACCATGGCCGAGGTGGTCTCCATCTTCCTCACTTTTTTTTTTTTTTGAGAGATTTTCACTATAGGGTGCATGTGCTTGCCAGAAAGACAGAGACAGAGAGACAGAAAGCGAGAAATCACCCCCCGGGGGGATGGCCACGCCGCAATCCCTTCTCCACTCTCCTCTCGGGATCTTGGGCACGCACGCACACACGCCCGGCATGAGTTTAAGCCACCGGGTCCGGGACGCGAACTGCGGTCGACTCCGAGGGAGTCCAGCGACACATAGCCATTACACCATCTGCTGTTCCCTCCCTTACTATTAAGTGCTATTTTCCACCACGGGCAGAGCGCCCATGCGGTCCATCCTTCCACTCTTCTCCTGAGCTGAATGGCCCGCGCTGTCTATTTGCTCAGTGTCCTGGCAGGTCTCTGGCGTTCCCGTACTCCCCAGGTGCACAGGTGAGCCCTCTGAGGCATGGTCGCGTACCTTGGTCGCCTGCCAGTCCCACTTCTCTCCGGCGCTGTCCCTGCAGGCCTGCTGGTCCCGGCCTGTCTCGTCTTCCTGCACAGCCCGTGTCGTCCTGCCTCTCTGTGAGGATCTTTGGGGCCTGTGTGCGCTTCTTTGCCGCAGGCCTGCCCCATACCCACATCGCCACGGGCTTAGCTGATCTGAAGTCGCCGTCCGGGCTGCCAGGGGCAGGCAAGCGTGGCTGCGCTCTGCAGCGTTGGGCTTTGAGTTGATGCTGAGACATGAGGGCTGGCTCCTCCGGGCTCTGGGAGAATCCTACTCCCAGCCCTTGGGTGTTTGAACCCTCTTGTAGCCATGGGCTGGACCTCCAGTTAGTGCTGTGTGCGTGGCATCAGAGGACGCAGGCACTCCCAGAGCAAAAGGGACAGCCTCCCTCGGTGGGCGTGGTCACGCCGGGTCGCCCTTCCTTCCTGTTGGGTTTTGGGTTCCCCGTGCACATGTGCCCAGGCTGTCTCTCAAGCAGCAGGGCCAGGATTTAAACTGCAGTCGGCCATGTGGGGTCTGGTCTTCTTAATTAGCAGGCCACAGGGCCATCCCGTACGGCAGCCCTGTGTGGTCTGTGCCCTCGGCGGCCCTGTTTCTTGGCTTTTAAATGCCCTCCTCCTCCCTGTCTCTCCCTTCATGCCCTCATGGTCTCGTCTCCATGTTGGACGCTCCCTTCGGCCCCGTGACCTGCTCTCTGTCACTGCTCAGAGACCCTGGCAGGCTGTGGGGCTCTCTGTGCCTGAGGCTGCTCCAGCAGTGGGCTTGGTTGGGGTGCAGACCCTCCTCTTACCCTTCTGTGCCACGGCATGTTTGTCCTCGCCATGTCCCGGAGACCGAGGAGCCCAGGGCTGTGGAAGGGAGGGCCCTGAAAGTGCTGCTCATGCCCTCTGCTGCCCGGCCGCCTGGCTTGGGCCTCCCCAGGTAGATGCTGGCCAAGGCAGTGCCCACAGCTCACCTCAGCCCTCGCAGCCCTGAGGTCTGGCCTGTCTTGGCCGCTGCAAGCACCGTCTCCCGCGGCCCCGGGTTGGCCTGGAGGCTGCTTCGGTCCCCACCTCTGTGCTCTGAGGATGTGTCCGTGGCTCACCTGGTCTCACTCGCTCTCCCACTCTTCCTGTTCTCGTGAGTTTCTTCTATCTGCCCTTTGCTGCCACGTTGGGCCATGGGCGTGGGAGTCCAGAAGCAGGGGCATGTGTGTGCTTCGGCCTTGAGGCTCACCTGCAAGGCTGCGTAGTCCCTCCAAGGCGCGTCTGTCCCGGCCCCGCCACAGCCCGAGTGGTTATCATTCTGCAGTCTCCTCCCCTTGGCCCACCCTGCCATGTTCTGTCCACAGCAGGCAGGAGTCACTGCCTCAGCTTCTCGTCCAGTCTCCCTCCCTGAGGCCGGTCCAGAGCCCTCTGTAATTGCAGAGGTGTTCACAGCTCTAGGTCTGAAGGAGGCCGGCTTCTCCCTGGCTGGGGCTCTGTGGCCTTGGGTACAAGCCCCACTGCCTTTGCATGTAGGCTGTTTCTGACTTTGCTTATTTCTGTGCAGAAAAAACAAGACCAGAAAGCTCCAGATAGAGATGCTATCCTCAAAGCGACCGCCGGCCTGCCCTCCTACAGCACGGACCGGGCCGTGGCCCAGACCAGCATGAGAGACGTGAGTGCCGGCGAGAGACGTGAGTGCGGGCCGCTGGGCTGGTGGTGGGCGGGAGCTGCAGGAAGAGCCAGAGAGTGTTTGGGAAGCCAGCAGAGGGTGTACGCGGGCTCTTCCATTTTTGCTGCTTTTGTGTAAACAACTATTTCAAAATGCAGAGTTGAAGACGCTGGAAGGCAGGACTGGGAGGAGGGAGACCGAGGAGCCCAGGGCTGTGGAAGGGAGGGTCCTGAAAGTGCTGCTCATGCCCTCTGCTGCCCGGGCGCCCGGCTTGGGCCTCCCCAGGTAGACGTTGGCCAAGGCGGTGCCCACAGGTATCGGGAACCCTGGCTTTGGTTAGAGCTTTGAGATTGAATCTGAGCTCCTGGGTGTTCCGGGTCAGAAAGTGCTGAGTCTGAGGGTAGGCATTTGTAGTGCCCGCAAGGACACACCCCAGTATGCAGGCCTTGGGCCGCAGGGCGGGGACCATCCTGTGCCAGGCCTGACTGGCCCGCCAAGAGCCCGCTCCCTTAGCAGCTCTCTGAGGTCCCCCTAGAGGGCTCTGGCTGACTGGGACGGGGCCCCTCCTGTGCATTTCCTGGGCATGCGAACATCCAGCTCCGACGTGCCTTTCCTGGTGTGGTGTCGTGTCTCGCACGGCCGGGCAGCTGCTCCGTGTACAGGCCGGGTGCCCACCTGCTGGCCCTTCCACTGTGCTGGGGAGGCTGACTGGCTGCAGTGCGTGCTGTCGGGACGCCCTGGCCGTGCTCCCAGCAGGCGACCAGCAAAGACTGTGGCTGGGCCACTGCGCAGTCTGCACCCTGCCACGAAGCCAGAGGGAGGTCTTTGGTTAGGTGGTGCCAGCCTCTCGGATGCTTGGCACACAGGTGTCACCGTCAGTGTTCAGCGATCGTCACGGGACATTTTTCCGTCCATGGCCAGTCTGTGCAGACAGACGGACAGAACTGTCCCGCTGCTGTGAGCTCCTCCTTGCAGAGCCTCCCCTTGCTCGGTGTGTCTGAGCTCTGCGAGGAGAGCGGTGTCCCTTTCCCTTTTTTTTTTTTTTTTAAGAGGTTTTTACTACAGTGCGCGTGCGCTCGCCAGACAGAGAGAGACAGAGACAGAAAGCGAGAAATCTCCCCCCAGGGGGGATGGCCACGCTGCAATCCCTTCTCCTCCATTATCCTCTCGGGATCCTGGGCACACACGCACACGCGCCCAGCGTGAGTTTTTAAGCCACCGGGGCCAGGACGTGAACTGCAGTTGACTATGTGGGAGTCCAGCTACATAGCCATTATGCTAACTGCTGGTCCTCCTTTTCCTTTTTTTGAGATTTTTTTCTTTCCTTTTTTTTTCTAGGGCACGTGTGCTTGTTAGAAAGAGAGAGAAAGAGACAAAAAGAGAAAAATCACCCGCCAAGGGGGCTGGTCAAATCGCAGCTCCTCCTCCACCCTCCTATCAGGATTTTGGGCATGCACGCACATGCACCTGGCCTGAGTTTCAAGCCACCAGGTCCAGGACTTGAACTGCAGTTGGCCCTGTGAGAATCCAGTGCTCCAACCAGTATGCCACCTGCTGCCCACCCTTTTAAAACTTTTTAGGTTCTTGCCTTAGGGTTCACGCGCTTGCCAGAAAGACAGCCGGAGAGGGAATGTGAGAAATGACCCTCTGGGGGTACGACCATGTTGCTGCCCATTCTCCCGGGGATTCTGAGTGCACACATGTGCTCGGCATGAGTTCCAAGCCGCCAGGTGTGGGACTTAAACCGCAGTACATCACGTCGGAGTCCAGCACCTTAACTGCTATGCCATCTACTGGCCCCTGTACTACTTTTTAAAATAACTTTTAAAATTTAGTTTTTGTTATGTACTCACATGTATTCACCAGGGAGAGACAAAGAAGGGGGTTGGGAGAGTGAGGAAGCACCCACCAGGAGGCATGGACCCACTGCGGTCCTTGCTCTGCTGCCCTCTCCGTGGAGGTTCTGGGCATGCACACGGACGTGCCCAGCATGGTTTTAAGCTGCAGGTCTGGCACCTGAGCTGTGTAGTTGGCATGTGGGCCGTGGCTTACTCTGCCGCCTCTGGCCTCAGCTGTGTGGTTCTGGCCCTCGCAGTACAGGAGTGGAGCCGCCGTTCAGGTATGCTTTTGGGCTTTAGAGAAACGACCTTCTCTCTTCCCGCTGCAGTTCCAGACAGAGCTCCGGAAGATCCTGGTGTCCCTGATTGAGGTGGCTCAGAAGCTGCTGGCGCTGAACCCCGATGCAGTGGAACTGTTTAAGAAGGCAAACGGTATGTGCCCGCCAGCACCGGGCGGCCACCCACTCCCGGCGGCACCTACAGCCCGTGGTCGCATGGGGACGTGAGCAGCGCTCTCCCCTCCACTCCCGCCTTGGGGGCTGTGGCAGCACCGTCGCGAGAGCGGGCATGGGGCTCAGCCGCCGTGGGCATCAGGGCTGCCCTCTCGCCTGCAGCAATGCTGGATGAAGACGACGAGCGGGTGGACGAGGCGGCTCTGCGGCAGCTCACGGAGATGGGCTTCCCCGAGACCAGGGCGGCCAAGGCCCTGCGGCTGAGCCAGTATGTCGCCGGCCTCCTGGCCTGGGGCTGGGGCTGGGGGGCTCCCGGGGTGGCACCTCCTGTCCTGACTCTGATCCTGCGTGCGCCGCTGACAGGCATCTTAGCCAGGCCTGTTGTCTGAGAGCCCCAGGGTCCCGGGTCCTCTCCCTCTTGGCAGATGAGAGTGCCGAGTCGTGTGCTCTTGGCTGTCGGGGCGTGCGTGCTCCCCCACCCCGAGCCTGCCCTGCAGGGTGTCGACTGTGGGCCATCCCTCAAGGAGTCCTGGCTGGCCTCTGTGGGGCTCCTAAGTAAGCCCGGCGACGGTGGGCGTGGCCTAGCTCAGCGCACATCTTGGGGCCCCCTTGGCTAGCAGGGGTTCTGCCCCACCGCTCTCGGGATGGTCATCCCCGTGTGAGGCTCTCCTGGTCGCCCGCTGACGCCAGGGTGGCTAGGGTCCCGGGCCCCTGCCTGGGCAAGCGCAGGCAGGCAGGGGCAGGCTGGAGCCGCTCTCCTCCACAGCATGTCGGTGCCTCAGGCCACGGAGCGGCTGGTGCGAGG